ATGAGGCTTGTTACACAAACCCAATAGCAAAGAAGCACCAGCCACATCAACATTAAAAAAAAAAAAAAAAAAGCAGTCAGCGTTAATTAGTAAGAAGTGCTGGTGACTGGAGGGCTTTTTGCTTTCTCCACTTCCAGGAGCTGACTCCTGCCTCGAGGATCCTGTTATCTCAATAAATATTGCTAATAATTGAGGCTCTGTCTGCTCACCACAACGCCGTCCAGCTGCTGGGAGCATTTAGAGACATCTATGTTATTTTTTAGCTGCAGTGTTAGCCTGGGGTATTAGTTCAGCGCTGAATAATTCTTCATGGTCTCATTGATTAATCATACAGTTAAGTCTTGCAGCACGGGACCGTATGAAGAAAAGCCTCTAACTAGCCAACTAATTTAAGAAGTTGCTGAATGCACAGCCCAAGAGCAACACTCATTTATTTGTATTTCTTTATGCTGATGTGCTGTAAAATGTGCTTTTCCCAAAGCACTCCAAAGGGCAAGGAGCAGAGACCCCAAGCTGTCCTTACTCGTCCAAGCAGCCCACAGCTATAGAGAACAGATTAATGCCCGACCAAGGCTGGTTTAAAAATACTCAGCAAGCCCTGTGTTTTGACAGAAAATCAGGGGGTTGATGAGGAGAAGCTTGTCATTGTTTGTTTTGGCTGCAGTGAACTTCTCCAGCTGAGGCCCTGAGCGCACAGCGAGGAACAGGAGACCTGCTGTGGCGCTCCACGCCCCGCGCCAAAGGTCTCAGTGCGATGTTCATTTGAGGATAATCTGTCTAGGTTTCCGCCCCATGGATCCCTTTTCTTTCATTCTCTTTCTAAACTTTCCAGGAATGTAAAGGTTAACTCCATTTTCTCACTGTCAGGAATAAACTCCCCCTCCCCAAACAACTCTTCCTATTTATATCCCTGTACTAATCAGAAAGGCTAGCACTTCTACATCTACGTGATTAAAAATTAGGAGACAGGATTCTGTAGTGGTGCCTTGTAATAATAGCCAATCCTGGGAGCACAGGGGATGAATAATGGATCGTGGCTTTATGCTGCTGGCTTCTTGCTTTCCTTTCTTCCTTCTTCTCCCGTTTTGGTCTTTCATTCTTCTCTTCTTCCTCCTCCTCCTCTCCCAGGCTGGAGTTGGAGTGGGGAAGGAATACATCCAGCCTTCATTTTGCAGAAGTTAGAGCTGTTGAGAGAGCACTGATTCCTATTCATCAGACCCTCTCCTCCTCAACATGATCCCCTGGTCGGTGAGCCCGGAGACCATCAATAATTCATGGCTATGTGAATAACCCGGGGATGATAACCACTTACTAGGGAAGACGTAATCAGGACCCATTCTCTCTCCTTCTCACCTCCTTAAGCAGCTCCCCCAGTCTTGCTGCTAATCCAACAGAGGGAAACAGGAGCAAAACAGTAGGTTAGAAAACAAGATTTTCTGGCGCAGGGAAGACGAGCAGTTCCGTGTTTGTCTGCATTAGGTTGTCCCCTGTCCCATGATGTCCCCTAGGTTTCATGGGCAGCTAAAGGTCAGGCTGGACTGCTTTGAGGGGAAGATGTTAAGCCAGTGGCTGAAAAAAAAAAAAAAGTCTTCACATGTCAGCCAGCGGGACCAGCCATTTATAGGACATCAGTCAGGAATATAAAACATCCCACCATAAAAGTCCCTTCATTTCATTCCAAGATGCTCTTCAGAGAAAGTCTTGTGGGTTGGTTTTTTCCCTGCTCCACAAGATGAATTTCCAGTATTTTACAAGCTGAGGTCAAATTCAATTAATAGCTTCAGTGAGGGGGAAAAAAACTATCGAAAAGTATCTGTTTTTTAAAAAAAAAAAAAAAAAAGTATAAACTCATCCAATGAAAGGTTATTTTTAAAAAGTGAAAAGAAATACTTCCTTAATAGTTAAATAGCATCAGAATGAAGCAGAATATTCTACATTTTCATATTTCAGGGGCTGATGCATTTCAACTAACCCATACCACAGATTTTCACATTTTTTTCACTCTTGTAGCCTGAAAAAAATGTACATTTTGGATCCATGTAGAAAAGCTTTTTTTCCCCCAGTCCCTGGGTTCCACCCACTGAGCTGAAAAATCCCATTACTCACAGCGTTTGGCAGCTGTGTATGTGACCAGTGTTGTGTGCAACCAGCACATCTGCCTTGCCTACAAATCCTGTGCCGATGCAAGCAGCCACCTTTGAATTGTCAGAGAACATAATCCCTTTCCATCTCCTGAATTCAGCCCAGCGCTGGAGGAGCCAGTGAGGAGTTTTTAAATATTTCTCAGCCAGCTAAAACGTTGGGGCAGCTCAGGAGCAGAAGCGGAGACATACTTGGGGATTTCAGAGAGGGCTTTGGCCAACTTTGACATTCACTTTGCATGGCTCAGCCTGATGCCAGCCAGCTTGGAGAGGGGGAAACAGCACTGACTTGTAACAAAAGCAGCTCCACTTTGATGGAAAATTGGCAGGTTTTCCCCAGCTGCATCCCCTCGGTAAGGATGCTGAAGGATTGGAGGCTTTTACCACCTGCTTCTGAGCTACATGTGAAGCAGCAGTTTATTCCTACGTCCTTTGGGCGAGAGGGGTGCAACAGGGATGCCTTCTGCTGTGTCCTCTACATTCCTGCTGGCTTCTCGATGCTGCGTGGGCCCCCGGGGCTCCTGAAACCGGCCATGAGATGGGTGGGCAACACATCTATCTGTAGCAAGACCAGCATTTTGTTTTCTGAAGGATCTGGTTCGGAAGAGCTAAACTGACAGAACTAGCGTGGCCAGCAGGGACAGGGAAGGGATCTGAGCCCTGGGCTCGGCACTGGTGAGGCCGCCCCTCGCTGAGTGGGTTCAGTTTTAGGCAAAACCTCACTCCAAAAAGGCCATTGAATGACTCGAGCGTGTCCAGAGAAGGGCAATGGAGCTGGGGCAGGGTCTGGAGCACAGATCTGATGGGGAGCGGCTGGGGGAACTGGGGGGGTTCAGTCTGGAGAAGAGGAGGCTGAGGGGAGACCTCCTGGCCCTCTGCAACTCCCTGCCAGGAGGGGGCAGAGAGGGGGGATGAGTCTCTGGAGCCAAGGAGCCAGCGCCAGGCCCCGAGGGAATGGCCTCAAGCTGCCCAGGGCAGGGTCAGGCTGGCTCTGAGGAAGGATTTCTGTGCAGAAGGGGCTGTTGGGCGTTGGAATGGGCTGCCCAGGGCAGGGGGGGAGTCCCCGGGATCCCTGGAGGGGTTGAAGAGTCGGGCTGAGCCAGCGCTGA